ATGGAGATGTGTACAAGAATCACTATAAGGGTCAATCTTTTAATTGTTTACAACGGTTCTACAACCAGAGTTGAATACTGAGATGTCCACATTTGCTATGTAGAACACTTTAAATTTGGCAATTATCTTCAGTTCTACCAAACTTGAAATGCAGAGAACAGGTGGAAAATATTAATACTTTTCCTCCGTCTAAGGGGAGAACCATGAGGAGAAGAATTGAATTGGTGTCCAATTCCAAATTGCTGCATATTCTCGAACAGAAAAAGACCCCTCCCCAGCAGTCCAACCACATTTCCAAATATACTGTATGTGTTTGCCTCGTCCTTTTGCAAAAAAAGCTGAGCAGCTGTTATATAAAGAAGAGCTGCAAACTCACCAAGCCACCAGAATGCAGACTAATAGAGTTGGAAGGGACCTTGAGGTCTTCTAGTCCAACCCCTGCTCAAGCAGGAGACCCTTTACCATTTCAGACAAATGGCTCCTCAGTCTCTTCTTAAAAGCCTCTTCTGAAGGCAAAGCTGTTCCATTGATTAATTGGTCTCACTGCTAGGAAATTTCTCCTTAGTTCTAGATTGCTTCTCTCCTTGATTTCTTATCTTGCCTTCTGGTGCTTTGGAAAATAGATTGACCCCTTCTTCTTTGGTGCAGCCCCTCAAATATTGGAACACTGCTATCATGTCACTCTTAATCCTTCTTTTCTCTAGACTAGGCATACTTAATTCCTGTAACTGTTCTTCATGTGTTTTAGAATCCAAGCCTTTAATCATCTTAGCTGCTCTTCTCTTCCCACCATTTGTCTTGCATTCAAAAGTCCCTCGGTTGCATTCATGGTGAAAGGAGACTGTGCTGGCAATTTTGCAACAAGGCCTTTTCCTTGTAATTGTCACTATATTCACGTGGTCCTGCAGAAGGTAGAATGAAGGCGAGAAGAGGAGAAATTCTGAATAACAACTGAACACTATAAACAAGGTGCTAAAAATTTTCCTATAGGAAGTCTGGGAAGATGACGCAGAGCTGAAGAATGTGATGTGCTAGCACCTTGTTCTGTACATAAAATTGAACTGGGGACCCTCAAATGGAGCGGCACTTTGCAGACTGGCTGCCCGTCCCTCTAAAAAAAAAAAGGAGAAAAACAGGACGAATTATTGTCAGTTTCAGCCCAATTTCCTTCATTGGGAGAAATGCGCACTTGGAAACAGTTGCAAAGGTCTAAGAGTCAAAAAAGTCCGGATTACTCCCTGCTGCCTTTCCGAGTGGAAGCAGCAAGAGCTCTGCATGTCTTTGTCTGGTCACTGACCAAAATAAATAAATGAATAAGCCAGAGGCTGCTGCAAAAGGGGACTTGTGATGCTGTCAAAGATCTCCCCCTTTTAAATACAGTAAGCAAATTGCAGTGTCAGCTGAAACCCAGGAGCCAGGGTGAGGCAAAGGTTCTTCCCAATGGGAAAACACCGCCCACAAGCTCTGTAGTACAGCAGCATTTCAGAGAAATGCAACATATTGGATATGATTTTAGAAACATACCCACTGAGCAAAACCAGAAACTGGATCAGTTTCTTGGCATAGATGATGCCATCAGACCACACATGTCCAAAGCTGAGTCTAGATGGATGCATCTACAGATTTCCCCAGATGGGTATAGCCCTATTAAATCATGGATGATGTTGAGAAACTGAATAGAATTAACATATTTCTTATGTGGGTGTGTATGATATAATGCTAGAATCAATGAGAATGAATGGCAGAAAGCTGAGAAAAGTTAATAGGAAAGTATTTCACAGAAATTCTTGTAAAACTATAAGTATCTAAAATGACTAACACATACAAACCATTACAATATGCTAGTCCTGGATATGGATTCAAATAAAACAAACACCAGAACTCCTGCAGAAATAATCCAGGAACACCACCCAAGCCAGATGTGCTTCATTTATTACTTCAGTCATGTATAATAAGCTAAAAAAACCCACCAATATATATAGAGGAAAACATGTTTCTTACATATAAGCTGGATAAGTACAAATGAGAAACACTGTTCTCATTGAACTTTCCATTACCTACTAAATTATGAGAGTAATATATTATCTTCTCCATCACAGGCAAGATACCATTCAATTCCAATTACTGGAAACTACTAGTATAAGGAAACTATGGTTTGCTGGGAAAGTGTGATTGTTAAATCACAGTGGAGAAACAATATGCTGCATTAAATAGGATATCAAATCCAATAGTTTTCCTTGCATTCTTATGGTAAGAGGTATATTTCCATTTAAATTTCAATAATTATTTTTAATTTTTAATATATAAATATGCATGAAAATGTTATGCAAATTACCATTTCTTTGTTATTCTTTCAGAAAAAGGAGAAACGTAAAAAAAACCCGAATAAAATATTGTAAAAATTGAGTTCTAAACTACTGCAAGAATTTTTGCAGGGAAAAAAATAAAGTTGAACTGAAGCATGACATAAATCAGATTATCAATGGATGTATATTTGGGTATTCTCACCAGAAAAAAAAGAACACTCAGATACGCACATAGCACACAGATTACAGTAGTATTAACAACTAATTTATCTTGTTATAAGAATTAAAACCAGCATGATCCATATTATCATCAGAACATAGATATTGCAAAGTAAGGTACACTACATTCTTACAAAATCATGGAAGACTGCAATTATGACTTTGCAATTCATGGCAATGAAATCTCCCCCCTTCATAGGAAATGAAATATGCTCATGAGTACACACTTACTGAATAAAAAATGCCACAAGAATGTTTAGATATATAGTATACTTTAGTATGAAGAGTTCACAACTACAAGTTTTAATGTTAGAACACACCCAGTTAAGGTCTATGTTGTCTCCTAGGCAAAACGTGTCTCCTATAGGGTCTATAGTATTCTGCTCTACATCTTTCCAGAGTTAGCTCTTCCACCCCTCTAACACTGCAGAGCCTCTTTCATTCCTTGCTCCTATGTTGGGTTTCATGTGGTCCCACTTCTTTTGACTGTTTCTGTTCTATTTTCCACTCATAATTATATTTTTTAATCAGATTACTTTGCCCCAACTTCTTGATCATTCTCTTAAAATCCTGCCACCATATGCCATGTTTCCTAAAATTAAGGGCACTTTCAAGTTGGCTTTGATACGACCCCTGGCATAGTATCATATGGCACTACTGACAGCACCAGTGAATAATCTTTAAACTTAATTAATCAATATCCAAAATTGGAAAACTGGTGCCTCCTTCTATCTGCCATACTCTTAATTGTGGCTCATCTAGCTTACTATTTCATCATAGGCAACAATGAAAGCTTACAATTATTGATTGCTACAGTTTAAATGCTTGGTTTCTTTCCCTTGCTGTCTAAATTAACAGATTGTTGGCTTGTGTCTTGTTGGTTTTAGAGCAGGGGTCCCCAACTGGACTGGCACTGGGCCACAGCATGCCAGAAATTGGGCCATGCAAACAAGCAAAGCCACATCCCCATCCAAAACCACCTCTGGTCTATGGAAAAACCTCTCACCACGGAACCAGTCCCTGGTGCCCAAGAGGTTGGGGGCTACTGTCTTAGAGGAACCTGAAAATTGGATAACTACTGATTCTTATCTTGCTGATCTCAAGCCTTATACCAGGGTACCACAGTGATTTGACACCCATGTCCACTCAGGCCATACTTTTTTGTTCTCCTTCACCATGAATTAATGAGAATTGGGGTGGATGGGGGCATTAGCTGGAGCTGATTCCTGCACTTCCTTATGGAGGGAGCAAAGTCAATACAGTTATTCCTGCAATAGTCAAATGAGTACAATGACAATAGCTCTACGAGTTTGGGAAGCGTTTCAGGGATGAGAACGGTTTCAGGTTTGTCTTCTAATCTGAAGTATTATGACAGGGTGAATAGGCAAAATGGGGCTTCTTGCCCTACTTAAGTTTATTTGTAAACCTGCCTGTTCTGCAATGTTATTATTGCCAGCCTTGTTTGTTGATTATAATTTGCTTTTTTAATTATTTTTAATTGGTATATGCTACCAGAAGTCACAAAATAGGAGGGGGGAGACTTTACAAGTCTATGGAGGGGATGGAGGAAGGAAAGGTCTCTGGGCAGTGTGTTTCAAATTTGGCAACTTTTAAAGATGTGTGGGGTTCAACTTCCAGAAGTTCCCAGCCAACACGCTCTCTGGGCTCTATATAACCTGTTTAGAAAACTTAATTACAGACCAGTGCTTTATTTGGGAGATTTATTTGGAGAAGCGCCCAAATGAGAAGAAATGAAGATAAGCAGGAAAGGTAAAGAGCATTCAGAGAGATGGCAGGGAGTAATCTCACATTTGTGGTCCATTAAGCTCTCACTATTGTGACCACAAACTTTAGTCCACCAAAATAATTTCCACTTTCCGGCTTTCTGACAAACCAGTTATGAGAGTTGCCTGAGGGTCACTACTTAATTGCTACAAAAACCATCCACACTTGCTTGCAGAACCACCTAATTCAAGCGGCTTCCGACTTCAACCCAACGAAGCGGGTGAACGTGGCTTAGAGAGACTGCCTTCTTAGAAACGCCGGCAGTCATTGTACTTTACGCGCGATAGGATGCGAAAGAGGAAGGCTGGAGGGGGGCGAGGGGTGTAATCGTAAACTGGATCTTCCCAAACGTATGATTCATTGCAATCTTGCAATCCGCACGCCGGTCAAGAAAGAGAAGACTATTCTCTGTAGTAGTTCCATTTCCGTTGAACGGGGCGCCTCAAAAAAAAAAAAAAGCTCTTTTACGCGGCGAGAGATACTAAAGGCGCAGCCCAGCCCACCGCGTGGAAGCTACCACCGCCGCTGTTGCAGCTGATGGTGACGCGCAAACGACCCCCCCCCACACACACACACTATCCTTTTTTTTTTTACATGCCCGCCTTCCCGTACGGGGCCGCCTGCCAATAAGGACGGAAGCGTTTCCATCCGCCCCCAAAGTCGCTTCGCCATAGGCCGGTTAGGGATGTCTGTCTCGGAGCCGCTTTTTCCCCGCTTTGGGAACTGACGCAGGGGTGAGGAGGCAAGGCAAGGCAGGGTAGCGGAGTCCAGGCTCCCAGCCGCGCCGAGCTAGCGAGGAGCAGCGCCAGAGCTGCGATGCTGCGGTTGCGCCATCTGTCAGGAGCCTGGGGGGCGGCGGCGGCGGCGATAGTGGAAGGAGGGGAGGAGACTGACTGAGGCGGCTTTTCCTTAAGACTTGCATTTGGAAAGGAAAAGAAAAAAGGGAGGAAACGGGAGCCCGACCCCATCTTCCCCGCGAGGCTGCCCACGCGCCGAACAAAGCTGCGGCCGCCTTCTTCGTCTCGGCGTCCCTCGCTGCTGAGGCAGGGACTTTGGACGCCCACCCGTTTCCTTCCCTCCGCCGTCTTTCGGTTCTTGCGTTCGTTAATAGCGAGCTCCGGAGCTGGCGGGAAGTGAGCGAGCGAAGGGACCTGGAGAGCCTTTCACGAGGGACTCCTCCTGCCTCCGCCCTTAGGATCCTGCAGAGAGAGAGAGAGAGAGAGAGAGAGAGGAGGAAAACGAAGGGGAGGGGGCGTTGGTGAGAAAGGGGCTCTGCAGACCAAGTCCTGCTGCGTTTCAGGTAAGACCCGGAACGGCGAGCCCCCCCTCCCCCATATACACACCCCCTTTACACACACACACACACAGACACACACAGACGCCGCCCCGCCTTAGGGGAAAGGGAAGGAAACGTGCGCCGGCTTTTGTGTGCTCGCCTTGGGTTGCTTTCCCTTCGCCCTGCTTTGTGCTCACTTCTTCGCCTCAAGTGCCTCCGAGCGTAATTGTCTCTTCGTGCCTTTTTCTCCTTCGGGGTTCCCTCTTGCAACACCCCTTCCTCCCCCCCCCCCCCCGGGGCTACGTAGGAACCTAAAACCCCCCCCCCCGCGGGAGAATTGGAAAGGTGGGCGGCGGTAATCGAAACGTGGATGAGTGCGTGGGTAACGGGGAGTGGGTGGGGATCGTGGGCCCAAAGAACGAGTGGCGGGGGAAGCCTTTACCCACCCCTGCGAAGAGAAATCGCTTGCGTTTTGGCGGTGCGGGAAGGGTTAAATTTGTGTCGTTGAACGTGGCCGGGTGGGGAGGTGAGGATTCCCCTAAATTTTAAAGAGTCGGGGTTTTTTAGATGCAAATGTACTTAATACCGTACATTTTATATATGTTCTCTTAAACGTATATATGAAAATTAAACCTCCAGAGCTTGGCTTAAGGCCTCCGTGGCTAAGAGTTACAAAGGGTGTAGTCCAGCTCTAATGGTTGTGGGGTGTCATTCATGTTGTTGTTGGGTTAAGAGTACTTGTGCTATTTGGGGGGGGAGGGGGGGCGGAAGTCCACGAGAGGAAGACTTTTGAGATCAGAAGTTTCTCCTTTTACTAGATTTGTCCCAAGGATATGTTGGCATGAAGGGTAATTTGGACCATCCCGCCGGAAAGTGTCGGGTTAGTGTGACATGCTGGAGAAATTGTGAGACCGGCTCTTGTGACCTGCTGATTAGGACTGATGGCGCCATATGACAAAATGTTCAAAAGGGGATAATGTTTGTGGGATCTTGCAGAGCAGAGGCTTTGTGAAATGAGGGCTTTGGCATTGGAGTGGAACTTATTCCCTTGGCCCATAATAGGAGAAAGACTGGATAATCCCTGATGGAGATGCCTTGAGGTGTGAGAACATTAAATAAGATAATGAAATATATAATGTTCTGTAGCTTGTGAATGTGGAAAAGAATGGTAATAACTCTGATGATGTAATCCTTTAATAATTGACCAGTTTCCTGTTCAGCTGGGGGTTTTCACACTCTTATGCTGACTTTGAAAGGGGCTCCCATTTCCTCTTCCTTTTGATTCTTCTCTCTCCTCCCTAGCTTTGCAGTTCTCTTTCCTCAGGAGAGACCATCACTCTATTCTCAGTCACTTTCCTTAAACATTTAGCGTTAGTGAAGGATTCTAAATGCTCTACCGTGGGTGCCTGCATTTTTGGTACCTGCAGTCTTAAAGGGCATTTAAACCAATCTTTTTTTAAAGGTTTTGTGGTGCTGCTGAGTTTGATTTAATCCTCCATCTGTAAAAAAAAAAAAATAGAATTTTTAAAATTTAAAAATGAAAGAGTGATTCATGCAAGTGATTCAATTCATTCTGAGATAGGATAATGCCAAAAGCATAGTCCTATTCATGCTGACTCAGAAACAAATCCTGTTAAGTTTAATGGATTTAAGTGTGTAAGACTGCAATCTATAATGCACATAATAAAGGTGAAATAAAGGATGCACACGCCTTCTCTTTTATTCTCTCACCCCACCTTTAATACTGTGATGGATCTGATTCCTCCAAAAAAGGAAACGAGTTTGGAAGATAACTACTTCTTTCTGGGCACCTTCTACATGAATAATGGGAACTTCAGTTCCCAGAATTCTCAATGTTGCTGGTTGGGAGTTTTGGGAACTTCAGTTTAGTCTGACATAAACAGAGTTTGAAACCTCTGCTTAGAAGTCTGTGGTTTTCTTATTTTCAATTGCACATCCTTGTTTTATGCTACCTAAGTAACTATGTTACAGTGAGCTGTTCTTTACAGTAAACTTATCACATGATGCCATTGTAAGAATTATACCAATTGTTGAATACACTTGTGCTGGTTTTTAAAAGATACTGTCTACTAATGAGGTATAATAATACATGTAACTCTAGAATAAACTTAGTAGAATTAATTTCATTTGAACCATAAAGCTGCCTATTTCAGCATATTGACTCTGCGTGACTGACAATTCATAAAATAATACTTTTAATTGCTTACTATTTAATAAAGTTATTTTATAAATGGTCCTATTATTCTTATGTTAGCAACTGGCTGTATTCTGCGGTTGCAGAGGACAAATACTTAATTTATGAAATTCCCTAGCTTTTTATTATATTTTAATTTGCCCATAGTTATATCTACTATAAGGGTTATGTATTACCTGAACAAATGTAAAGAGGTGCTAATTCCACTTAAAATATGTTCATTGCTTACACTGAATTCCAAGAAGAAAAAGGCTAAGGCATTATACTGCATTATAACTTCTGTTATAGTACATGCACACCAAAATTTAAAAACAAAAATGACACCATAATAGAGGTACAACTGCAGGTGGCCCCACTGATTTCTCAACCCCTTCCCTGAATTTTTTCCCTGTTATCTGGGCTCAGAGAATAAGAGTAAGTCTGGCTAAAAGAAAAGGAAAGTTATTGGAATGGGCATCCCCAAGAACTGGCTGTTTTCATTAGAATGATGAAATCAACTGTGTAGTGTTATGCTGTTGATTCTCCACCCCTTTTGTTTGTTCATATGATATTACAATACATGTACAAAGGGGTTAGGTTTGTATCACAATGCCAAGATGCTTCTTATATCATTCTACGCACACTCCTCTGAAGTAAATCTCCAAAGGTGGCTAACTTAGGACCATAGCAACATGCCAGGGTCAGGTGATCACTATTTGTGACTTTCCCAGCTGGTTTCAGACAAAGTCAAGGGGGGAAAGCCAGATTCATATAATAACTCTCTGATTCATTTAATGACCACAGCAAAAAGACTCCTAAAATCGGAGTGGTCACACAATGACTTAATGACTGCATTGCTTAGCAATGGAAGTTGTCACAGTTGTGGTCATAAATTGAGGACTACCTCTCAGCACCATGTAACTGAAACTAAAAAAGATACCAACACCCAAGCTTCAGAAGAGTAAAAACTACTACTGTCCTGTTGCCAAGAAAACTGATTCCTATCAGAAGTAAATCTCAGCTCAAATTTGTGTCATTAGATTTAAGTGGTGGGAAGAGGGTTTGATTCTCTTCTCAATGATTGTTATTTTCATTCTACAAACCTGAGGCACACACACCAGTGAATCAGTTCTCTGGAAGTGGTAATTTTAGCAAGAAGACCATCTAGCTCTTGACTTGCCTTAGCTGTTCACTAACATATTAACTCTTGCGTACAGTATTTGATGAAGATATGGGAACACAGCCATTGACTTTTTACATAGGTGAATGTAGGTAGATATACCACATCACCAGTAATGTTTGCTTCCATGAATTTATCTGCATTGTGTCCTTTGATTTTTAATTAAATTGTTTTTATAAAATAATCATTGAGATTTTAAAAATAGTTTAATAATTTGTAATAATTGTAATGTGCTTACAAGGGTCTCCAGTGGGTGGGGCAATGAGCGGGAGGCTCATCCCGCAGGATGAGGCGAGGCAGTGGGCGGGGCAGCTACAGCCAGAAACAATTTCACCTCACATTTCGGTCCTGCATTAAAGAAAATGCTGCATACAGAATGCTTTACAAGCATTGGCTGTGTGAGACAATCTTGACAGGGCTGAATGTCATTATATTGTTTAATGGAAGAATTTGACAGTTGCAGCTGGGATATTAGTGCTGTTGGGAAGTTATTTAAAGAACTGCTTCTCAAATTCATACTATTTCATTTATGCCTTCAAAAGCTCTTTTTGAAGTGCTGATATACCATGTAGTAGTTTCTTTTGTTAGAATAGCAGTTCAGGAAACAATTTGGACACAAGGGGATTCTGGCTTTCAGATTACAGCGAAAATTGCAGAACAGAAATAATTTTGAACTGAGCCATTGTCTTGGCCTAATATTTCTTGAGTGAGTATATATGGTTTTTTGAAGAGTTCAGTTCCAGAAAAGACGTATTTGCTATTATAATAATAAAAATAAAAAAAATTGTATCCCATAAGGAAGATGGGTGGTAAAATTTCCTGACTGGATGTCTTTCAGATATGTGGTACACCATATTCCATTGAATATGCAAATTTATGGGTGCACTTAACTACCTTTAATATAGTTGCAATTATAATACCAGTTAGGGAATACTAGCCTGGGGAATAATTTTATATTTGTCAGCAGAGCAAATAGTGCATGCTTTTATGTGTGTATATCTTGTTACATTCAGACATATTTTAGAGTTTAAAAAAATTAGAACATTTCAAGATATCTAGTGTCAAAACATTTTTTCCTGAAGTGTCCCTTAAATCCTTATCATTCAGCTCATTAGAAATGAGTCAATTCACATTTCCACTGGTACAGTCATGAGAATGAAGTGACTGTAATTTCCTTAACTGCTCCAAAGATGGACTTTTAATTATCAGTGGGACAAATGGGCTTTTGTAATAAGATATATCTGCTAATTTTTTTCAGGCGACGCAGATGCTAGGCAGCTTTGAAAGTTTTTGTCTGTTGAATTTTCCATCGAAGAGGTAACAGTGGAAACAATACTTGCTATTTATAAAGCTATGAATATGAATCTTCTTTATGTGTCCATAGAAAACAATATATTGCTGCATGAGCCTGAGTCACATGATGCAAGTATACGTAGGTGGAATTGTTTGACAAGACATCCTTGAGGCTTACAGACCAATAAGCTTCATTAGGATAAACACTTCTAGGCATAATATGATATGCAATGAATTTAATGCAAATTTGATTATAGAAGTTAAAACTGCTCACCCTTTCAAGCAGTATGCTTCAATTAATAATTACATTAAACTAACCTTTTGGAAAACACATTTTATTATTTTATCGTCCGTAAGTTCATAGATGCAAATATTTACTCTTACAATCTCTCCATCCGCTAAAATGAACTGTTTGTAAAGTCATATATGTGCCGTTATAATGTCATACATCTCTTCTATGTGCTTGTGTTAATATTTGCATCAATGTACACTGTCGTATGGAAACCTTTATTGGTGGATCCCAGGCTCCAATTCAATCACCCCCCTTTCCTTTTAACTTTCATAGAATAATTGTTTGGTATGAAAATAGGTCACTAAAGATATTTATAGTCCCAACGCATCTTTGTCAAGAGGGAACTATTTTTATAATACATGTATATAACATAGCAGCTTAACCAGGAAATAAATATTTCAGACATGATTAGTGGGACTGCATGCCTGAAAAGTTCTGAAAATATAGGATTTTTTTCCCTTACATTATGGAAGTAAAAATATCTGTCACAGAAGGAAGAATCAAACCAAAAACCTAAAAAGAGCCTTTTAGCATTCAGTGTATTCTGCCTCCTGGTTCCCATTGTGACTAAAATGTTACCAGGAAATGTACAAACCAACAAACTTTATTTGTTGCCCTCCTCCCAGAAATGACCTTTGGATATATTTGGATTCTACCCTTGGACTCAGGATTTAGTATTATATTTTGCCTTCATGAATTATCTAATATTTTTAAAAAGACATCTGGAAGCTCTTACATTCATAGTAATTTTCTACATAGTTATTCAGTCTGGTTAGAGCAGCTTCCCCATCTTCAAAATACTGGGCTGTAAATTCTGCCTTTATTATAAATTATTTATACAAGAGGGATGTTTTAAAAAGAAGATACAAGGGATGGGTAAAAACCATTGTCCTTCAGCAATAAGTCAGAAAAGGAGGAAAGAAGGGGAAAATTCCCTTTTATATAAAACAGCTTTTAATGTCTTTCACTAAAACACGATCAAAAAACTTTGACCGTCTTGTAGAATCCATAGGGAGGAATGCTCTGTAGGTGGCCTTGGACTCCTGAGGAGAGGATCTAACCAATTTTTAGTTTTATACTAAATGTTACTTGTACTGATAATAGAACACAGAAAAAGAATGATTAAAAACAATGCTGTAGAACAGGGTTGTCAAACTCCCGGCCCATGGGCCGGATGCATCACGTACTGACCACGCCCACTCCCTATTTAGCAAAGGGGTGGGGAAAGTTCCGATTAGTCACATGATGCCGCCATGATGACATGGGTTAGACACCCCTCCTGTAAAATCTAAGTGAAGATAAGGTATGAATGCTAAGATGGGAATGCTTACAGAAAGTATCTTGGCTTTCTTATTATATTTTGAAAAGAGTAAAAACATAAAGATACTATCCAGCCAAAATTAAAGACTTCACTCCTGTTAATTTTAACAGGAATTCTAAATAAAGAATTCTACTGAAATCAGTGGGATCTGTTTAATTTCAATGAGTTTATGCTCTAATTTGCATGCTAATCATTGGAAATTCTTTAAGGTCATATTTGATTCCAACTCATACATGACTCATACAGGCAAGAGCCTGTAGTACAGTGGACTAAAGCACTGTTATTAACATCTGCTGCTTGCAATTACTGCAAGTTCAAATCTCACCAGGCTCAAGGTTGACTCAGCCTTCCATCCTTTCAAAGGTAGGTAAAATGAGGACCCAGATTGTGGGGGCAATAAACTGACTTTGTATAAATATACAAAAGTATGAAGGCTATTGCTTAACGCACTGTAAGCCGCCCTGGGTCTCCGGAGAAGGGCGGCATATAAATTAAAGCAAAAAAAAAACAAAAACTTACTATATCTGAAAAATTGTTTGTTTTGGTATTTATAATTAAACTTCTGGTAAATAAATGCTTGCAGTTAAAAAAACACCTGAGAAATGTTGTCTCAAATAATACTGCAATGGAATAACTGGAAACATTTACTTCTAACTGTATAGGGAAAAGTAAGTATGTTAGAGAGAAACCCATCATTGGAAAATTAGTACCTTTTTTCTTTTTTTTTCTTATTTACTTTTTTTAAAAATAACTTCAGAATAGTGTTCATAGAATTGAATTTGAATAATGAAAAAGCAGATATGCTGTTTACTTTGTTATTCTCAACCAGAAATAATTGGCATATTCAAATTATTATTCAGTTGTGCCTTTCAAAATTCTAATACTTATTCTATTGTGTCAGTTTGGCCACTAAAAGTATTCTCAAAATTCCTTTTGAGGCATCGGTCCAAAAAGGTTGGAGATCCAGAAAAAATATTAATATACTGCAGTGTCCAAATGCTGTTTCTGTGTTCTCAGTAATTACAACTCTATCATATTTCCAGTTTTCCATTTCTCTGCAAAGTCCAGTTCTATAGAAATCTATACAAATTTGTAGTTTAAGAAAGAAAATTGGAACAGTGTTGTCACAGTGTAGACTCTGTAGAGTATTGATCAAGCAATATATCTATATGGTAAACCAAAACTTCTTTCCTTAAAATATTTTTTTTCTAGAGCATTAGGAATGGGATAGCATCCAAGCTCTTTTTAAGTAATATATTTCCAAATAGGATTCAGGCTATGGGAAGCAGTGCACAATCTCCACCACAATTAACCCCTCCCCTTAAACCATATTGTGAACAGGCAATCATTTCAAGTACAGTGGGGAACTTCTTCTTCTTCTTCTTATTATTATTATTATTATTGGTTAATCTTTAGTGAGATTCACAGCCTTTGAGGCTGGTTAATAGCTCAGCAGCTCGAGTCCTAACCAAGGACCTAGGAACTGTTAAGGTATCGTCGGAGGATGTAAGCTGTTCCGAGTAAGGTGGTTTTTTGTAGAGTCAAAATGTTCAAATCCGGCAAATTTAGAATTTCTAAACAGCGGGGTAGCCCTCTGGGTTATTATTATTATTATTATTATTATTATTATTATTATTAATTCAATTTGTATGCCGCCTCTCTCTGAAGACTCAGGGTGGCTCACAATGCATTTAAAATCATTATAAAAACCATTTTAAAATTAAAAACATTAAAACTCATTCACACCATTCATGGCCGGATCTCGCCAGATCGCAAGAGCGAGATCAACGGCCCCAGGCCTGCCGGAAAAGCCAGGTCTTCACAGCTTTTCGGAAGGCCAGTAAGGTGGGGATGGTCCGGACCTCAGGAGGTAACTGGTTCTAGAGAGTGGGGCAGCCACAGAGAAGACCTCCCCCGTGGGCCCGCCAGCCGGCATTGTTTAGCTGACGGGACCTGGCGGAGACCAACTCTGTGGAATCTTATTGGTTGTTGGGAGTTATGCGATAGAAGGCGGCCTCAAAGATACTTGTCCTTGCACGTGAGCTAGAACACCAGTAATACAATCATCTCACCAATGTGACATGCAAGCTTCAAATAACTACACATGGTAATCCAAGTGTACCTTCAAGTTTTCCTTTGTCTCTCTTTGTCTAAATGGCAGATTTCATTCCCAGGAACATTCTTCACATACAAGGCCTTCCTGATAGGAATAAGAAGCTGCTGACAGAAGCGGGGGGGGGGGGGAACAATTCTATGGACATGCTTTGCCTGTCTGCTTTTTTGGATGTGATATACAGGGTTAGATGTTGCTTTAGTTCAGAGCAGTGGTGGGTTGCCCCCGGTTCGCACCGGTTCTATAGAACCTGTAGTAAAACCGGTGGGAGGTTCCGGCCACCGACCTCGACATCATCAAAATGCTTCTGCGCATGCGCAGAAGAGCGTGCACAAGAGTGAAGCGAGTGCATGTGTGCGGCCCCGCTGCGAACCGGTAGTAAAAGTAAGTAGAACCCACCCCTGGTTCAGAGGTATCAAACTTGCGGTGTCGTGTTGTCGTCGCGTGATGTATCCTGACTTTTCCCCCTTCACTAAACTGGGGATGGGCATGGCCAGCGCATGATGCATCCGGCCCATGCGCTGCGAGTTTGACACCCCTGCTTTAGTTTAATGATTCTATTGTTGGAATTTCCTAATGCACAGTAGACCCAGTTTCTTACAGATCTATTTATCTTGTGTATAGATGTGGGTGCTATGTGCCTTATATGCTTGTGCTTAAATATGCTTGTATTAAACCATGATTTTGATTACACAAACCTCTGTAGATGGATGCATGATTCACTTTTGGAGGGGAAAAATAACTTGGTTGAAATAAAAATTTTGCTGATTCTGTTATGGTAGTCATTAACCTGTTGGTGGATTGTTAATGTGCGGGCATAGGATGGAATAAATCTTTATTATTCTGATTAAATGTCAAGCTCAAATGATTTTCTTTTCTGCTATGTGAACAGTCAGTGGGGTGGACATTTTTCCCCTTGATGATGCCAGTACTGTTTTGCCCTTCCAAATCAAGGTCCTTGCCAATATTCTGTGTAATGAAGCAAGTCAAGAGCAAACCAAACAATGCCTGATTTATATCCAGTCTACCTGAACTGATTACCCCACGTGTGTTACACATACAGAAAATATAACACTTTTACTGGCTCATATATCTTCTACACATGATGAATGTGCACTTTTGGCTTCTGATTTCAAGGACTGCGATGCTCCTGATTGTGCTGTTTTCATAAAATCAGTTTATCCTGTTTTTTAAAAATAGTCTTAATCATTCCCTGGCAAGGGATTTCAGAAAGTAAGCTGTCACTGACAATGCCTGACGTCTGGCCTTCTCCCCTTGTATTTTACATGATCTTATGTGGATCTCTTAATAGGATATTTGGACTGAATGAGCAGATTTTTTTGTTTTTGTAAAGCAGTTCCTGATGTACCTGGTGGCATACTATATAGTTATTTTGACTACCAGAATTCCATACTTGAACCATGCTATGCTGTGTCTAAAACTTAGAAATGGGTTGGGAAGGATAGGATAGGATAGGAAAATTACCAAGGTCTCCCCTGTTGGTTTACAGGTAATGTAGGATTTAACATTTAAAAAATGTACTGGGTACATGAAAGATATCTGATCTGTTGACTTCTCAAGAAAAAGATCTAGAACCAGTCACAAATTCATTGCTCTAGTTTCAGAAATGAGGACAAAGACCAGAAAAATCCCTTCTGTAATACTTAATTTATAGAATACATTTCTGAAAAGGGTTTTCTGCCACTTTCACTCTTTAATGTTCGAACTACCGGATTAAGATATGTTATTCTCCAAACGTTTTAAACTGATTTTATTACAGCAACCAATAATTCGAGTTTTTATGCTTTTTCATCATTGATGTTTTTATTATGTTTTACTTTTTTTATATATATATGCCGCCCTTCTCCGAAAACTCAGGGCGGCTTACAATGCGTTAAGCAATAGCCTTCATACTTTTGTATATTTATACAAAGTCAGCTTATTGCCCCCATAAACTGGGTCCTCAATTTACCTACCTTGGAAAGGATGGAAGGCTGAGTCAACCTTGAGTCTGGTGAGATTCGAACTTAAAGTAATTGCAAACAGCTGGTGTTAATCACAATGCTATCAGTCTGCTGAGCCAGACTTGTTTGCTTGTTTTTCCCTATTTTAACAAACAGATTTGTTATTTGAAAATAGTTGTTTTTAAAATGTCAGGTGCCTCTCATTCCAAAAACCTCTGAAGATAAAATGCCCTACTTTATACATATTTAAATTTGTAATCATTAACTTCACTATTAAACACAATACCATTTTGCAGATACTAAGTTTTAGAAGACAACGTTTGCTAAGAATATTTGCCTACTTTAATATAAAGATATGCTGAATATCTTTATTTAACAAAAATGTACAGTGCAATTTAAATACTTTCAAATAGGGCTCTTTAACTGACGTTTCAGTTATTGTGTTGCATGGAATCAAAATGGCTCTTATCTTGCTGTGATATGCAACAAACCTAAGTATAGCACTGAGTTGATGATGTTCTAAGAGGACAGCCATTTATATGATAAATTAAGCTTGAAACCTCAAACAGCTGTGTTTTATGGGTGTAAAATGGCGCCATATACAGCCACAAATCAGTGAATGCTGCTGAATGTATTTTGTGAGCAACTATGCAGCCATCTTCTAACAATATTGTTTATTCTGTGTAGTTTAATCAACACTCTTATTCAATTATCTTAAAATTTAGACTGTAATATTGTGTATATGCCAGTATTCCATATATACCATAAGCTTACTTCATAACTCACTATATAAGGATGTAGATTCTTGAGGAGGGACAGTATTTCAGTGAAACCTCAAATGCAGCAGTTCTCTAGAGCTGTTTTTTGAAGTTAGAACAACTAATATCCATGTTGCTTTGCTTTGTCCTGTTCCAAAGCTTTTCCACATCCTTGATTAGTACTTTCAATATCTGAAAAAGACTTCTCTGCCAGTACAAAAATGTCTTTTGATGTTTCCACTTGAGTACTAGAAATCTCATTTTCAGCTTTTACAAGCGTCTGTCAAGACTACGAAATGATATACAGACTTCTGGTGAGGATTCATAATACTTAACAAAAGAAGTTTTAAAGATGGGTTTAAGGACCAACCCACTCACTCTTTTTTTTAATAAACAGCAAAGGGGAGATTATGATATTGATTTTAGAAATTTATAAATGTATTAAGGATCCAGATAGATTTGAGATAACATTTTGAATTATTAAAATCCTTCCCATGGGAAAGTGGTATTTTTTATTCTTAGAAAGTGGTAGGATGGGAATTTGAATATTAGATACTAGAGGGTATCAGAAGGAACTAAATATTACAATTAAAGGAAAAGATCACTTAAATTTCACTTACTAGCACAGAATGGAGCAAAATACTTTAACATTGGATGTATTGGAAGATTCTTGTGAGTAATGGGTCCAGAGGTTAATTTTAAAAGTATCTGTTGTTATATATAGCTTGAATTTAGTTCGGGTAAGAAAAAGGAATAACTTTCACCAGACTAGACTGAGTCTAATCTGAAACTGCATTTAAAAATGGCAAGCTACAAGAATTAAATGTAAAAAGATGTTACATTAGATATACAAATAAGGCCAGCTGATGTCTTAATAATTAAAAGAAATATCAAACGGCAAATCAAAACAGTGACTTGAGTAACTTTCTTATATTGAATTACAAAAAAGACACGTGAAAGTTCTGAAGGATTTTGTGAGAAGGGACAAAGAAAAAAAAATAAAACAAGCTCTAGGATATTATTTGAACAGATTAATGATTAGGATTGTTAAAAGTAAAAGGAATGAATGTAAAGTGGGTTTACTTGATCAAAATCAAAATAGAGATGTTGTTACAGGCAGTCCCTGACTTAATGACTAGTTGTTTGACAACTGCAGTCACAACATCCTCCAAATGGTTACTTTATGGCCCATAAAGCACTTCCAGCTGTCGTAAAACATACCAGCCCCCCCTGGTCAGATGATCACTTTTTGGGTGCTTGGCAACCTGCTTGCATTTACAACCAGTTCCCAAGGGCCCTGCGATCATGTGAACACCCTTTGCAGTCTTCTCTGCTGGTTTCCCCAGAATGTCAAGTCCCCAGAAAGCGCAAGCAGAGGGGATATTGAATTTGAAGTCTGTTTACTGGATGCACATAGGGACTTCCCTTTCCCTCTATACAGGGAGGGAATGGACCTCAAATCTAACAAAATGCTAGCAAATGGTAACACTCTGAGCCTTTCCTAATCTGGTATTTGCTAGCCTTTTCTGCACCAAAAGAGAAAACGCTAGCAAATGCCACAGTTATTGAGTGTAATGTTTTCACCAGATTAGAGGTTTATTCCTTCAATGGACTAGGGGATTCCCCTGAAGGAAATCCCTCAGTACACTGGAGGAGTAGACCTCAAATATGGCAAAAACATTAATCAACACTATGATTCGTATTATTCTCCCTGAAGAGAGGGGGGAAGGATCCATTCTCCTGGATAGGGTGGGAAGTTCATGCTGTCTCCCTATCCCACCATACCCAGGAGACCTGGGCCCTCTCCCCCATGCTCTACTCAACAACCTATGCAGTTGCTTAATGACTGCAACTGGGAGAACCAGGATTGTAGTCATTGAGTGAAGTGGTTACATGGCATCTCACTTAACTGCTTCATTCGGTTAATCATGGCCTGAATTTCTGGGCCCTGATCATAATTGGAGGATTACCCGTATTCCTGGTAACTGTTAATGGACTTTTGCTTACCAGACTGAAAGATTTTAAGGATATGTGTATAGATAATAAATGAGATATGGGGTGAAAAGTTTGTTGTGTTTTTAAAAAAGTGATGATGTTAAAATTATACTTGTTGTAACTAAGTTACTTCTTTATATATTTCATTTTTCTTTGCTATATGTTTTTCTTTATTAATATTTCTGCACTTTGTTTTTTTTTCTTTTATTTTTTGTGGTTTGACGACCCAGTTGTGGGGGCAATAAGCTGACTTTGTATAAATATACAAAAGGATGAAGGCTATTGCTTAGCGCATTGTAAGCCACCCTGAGTCTCCGGAGAAGGGCGGCATATTAAATAAATAAATAAATAAATAAATAAATAAATAAATAAAT